AGCTGGTTAAACAGAAAGAGGGTTTCGAGACGAAACTCCAGGCGCTTGAATCGACTGATTCCAATAAACGAGCGAAAAGTTAGACTAAAACAAAAATCGGATCAGGAATCGCGATCAGATAAATCGCGGATTTAATCCGAGAAAAAGAAAAACGACAAACGTTCGTTAAAACGAACGAACGGACGAACGCTTGCTAATTAAATAAACTGGAAAACCGATCTATTTAAAAAAACCAAAATTAAAAAACCGAACAAAACGAGGAAAAACCGATTGGTTTTCTAAAAAAAACGGCGGCGAAAAACTACCTCCGGCGGCGGCGGTCCGTCGGCGGGCGAGGCGGCGGGCGGCGGCGGCGGCCTAGGGTTAGGGTTTCGGGGGCGGGGCGTGGCTGGGCTGGCCTCGGGCCTCGGTGGCGCTATTTGAAGGCCCGGTCGGGCGGAGTCCTGGCCGGTTACGGCCCAAGGTCGGTTCGGACTTTAAAAAAAATTACGCTCAGAAAAAAAACAAAAGAAATACTAAACGGACTCCAAAAATCCCGAAATAAATTTTTCCCAGCTTCTAAAATCAAGCCACACAGGATGAACATTTATTTGGGGCATAAATGTAATTTTAAAAAACACGCATTTTTCCCTAATTCAAATAAAATAGCAAATAAAACCAAAATAAAATCTTATTTGATTTTTTATTAAATCCTCAATATTTCTTTATTTTGGGAAAGTCATTTTATTCCCTCTCTCATATTTTTGTAATAGAAATAATTGAATATAAAATAAATAAAATCAAATGATCCTATTTTCAAAATTTGAGAAAACTCAAATATGAAAATAACGAAATCCCCAACTCTCTCCAAGGGTCCTTGAGTTGCGTAGAATTTTTTATGATCAACCAAAATGCAATAAAATATGATATGCAATGATGATCTAGTGTATAACATTCCAAATTGAAATTTTGGGATGTTACACCAGTGTAACTTACTACTTGTTGATTGCCAATGAAACCTATCAGTTATTGCTAGTAAAACCTCTTGCTTGCTGATTGCCTATAAAATTGGAACCTTGCATCGATCCCCACAATCTTCTAAAATGGTTGGAGATTACTGAAATATCTTTAAATCATGTGTTCTTATGTGCTTCTTCTCATTAATGTTGTGTATGACTTTGTAGGTAAATACCAATTCATCTATTGTTAGGTCAGAGGATGGCCCTATCGACCATGACGCCAGCCATGGCAACATTGCAGGCAACAATGATGAGGGGAACATCGGTGTTAACAATAAAAATTGTGGCTTCAATCTTAACAGTGCCTGTCCAGGAGGATCTCAGTAGTCTACTTGCATGTCAATTAATGACTAATCGTCTTTACAGTATTTTGGATATGTGCGTAGAAGTACCATATGCTCCAGGCCAAACTTAGTTGCTTATCCTTTTGGTGCATTCACTTTTCTGTAGTGATATGTATGTAAGTGATGTCCCTGATCTTCAACCTGGGAGGTTTTCTATCCATGTATTTTGCTATCATTGCATTGCCATGTGCAGTGTCATGGATGATAATCAGAGTGATGGTGGCCTGTATGTACATAGTAGTACTGTTGTATGCAAAGTTTGGTCATGTCTATATATGGACTCGCGCGTAAAAAACCTGTTTGCCGCGCGCGCTTTGGCTGGTTTAGCGCGCCCGCCTGCGCTGGCTCCAGTAGCCGCGCTATAATGCAGCACGCGCCGCTCCAGCAGAGCGCAAAAATACAGCGCGCGCGCGCCGCACAAACCACATATACATGTATTATGAGTAAAAATGATCAAACAAACAAAATAAATCAACAATAAATAGTTCAATTTCGTTATCATTACAACTCAAACAAATAGTTTATCGTTCAGTACAACAAATGCAATAAACACAACAAATAGTTCATGAACAATACAATGTCGAATGCAGATATCATCATGCTCTTTGTCGTCCATGTCATGCCCACCACTCTTCAATCAAATCATTCTGAAGTTCATTGTGCGTTGTGGGACGCCGAATGACATGATAGGAGGCAATAAAACGGGCTACCCTTTCAGCCCTCCGTAGCACTCGCACGGGATATCCCAAGAGCTCATACTGTGAGTAGTCTAAATCTTGGCCACGCTCATTCTCGATGATCATGTTGTGCATGATCACACAAGCGTGCATGATGTACCAAAGCATTTTTTAATCCCAAAATCTAGCCGGTCCTCTCACAATAGCAAATTGGGCTTGCAAAATCCCAAATGCTCTCTCCACATCTTTTCTAGCCGCCGCATGAGCATTGTGGAAGTCAAGATTTTTCTTACCTTCCGGCTTTTTCAACGGCTTCACGAAGGTTTGCCACTTTGGATAGATGCCATCCGCTGGATAATAGCCATAGTTGTACGTACGGCCATTTGCTACAAACTGCACCGGTGGCAACTCACCGTTTGCAATCTTATTCATCAGTGGTGACCGGTTGACAACATTGATGTCATTCAAAGATCCAGGCATTTCAAAGAATGCATGCCAAATCTAAGTCTCCTGATCGGCCACCGCTTCAAGGATTATAGTGGAACCCTTTTTTGGCCGTGGAATTGCCCATGCCATGCCTTTGGACAATTCTTCCAACTCCAATGCATGCAATCTATTGAGCCAAGCATGCCAGGAAAACCGCGAGCTTTGTTCATCGCCAATAGCCTTGCGACGTCTTCAGCATTGAGAGATCTCAAATACTCCTCGCCAAACACTTGCACAATTCCCACTGCAAAGCGCTTGACACACATGATGGCTTGGCTCTCACCCATAGCCAAGTGATCATCAACAAGATCAGCCGGTATACCGTATGCCAACATACGCAAAGCGGCTGTCACCTTCTGAAAGGTGCTATGCCCGAGCTCTCCGGCTGCATTCCTCCTTTGCTGAAAAAAAGGGTCATGGCTCGCTAGTTTCTCTGCAATGTGCCTGAACAACTCGGTGCTCACCCTAAACCGGCGACGAAAATACGACTCGAGGTATATGGGATTCTCCGCAAAATAATGCATGATCAATCTGTTGTGGGCATCGATCCTATCCCTCCAAATTTTCTGCCGACCCATAACCGAACCACCGTGCTTCGGTTTTTTTATATGCATAGCTAGGATCATTGCAAGATCCTCCTCCTCTTCCATATCAAATTCTTCTTCGGAAGAATCATACGACAAACTCATCTACAATGTTCAATACTATACTATAAAAACTACAATTCAAAACATGCATCAAATTCATGAAGTTTGAGCAATACATACCTTGTAGGCGTTTTGTCAAACACCTTGCGGGCGCGGCGCGGCAGCGAGCGCTCGGGCGCTGTTCCTCGGACGACGGAGGCGCGCGAGCGCCGGCGGGACTAGGAGGGGATGGGGCGGAAGCGCGGGCGCGCGGGGATAGGCCGGGGAGGCCTGAACGGTCGCCGGGGGGCGCGGGCGGCGGCGGCGGCGCGGCCGGACGGGGGGTGGAAGTGGGAGAGGAAGTGCGGGCGCGAGCGCTGGAGTGTGCCGCGCGCTGCAGCGAGCGCCCGAAATACACCACGCGGCTAAGTGTTTTCGACCGCGCGTCCAGCCCGTTATAGCGCGCGCCGTTTTTGCGCGCCCGCTGGAGCGACCTGCCGCGTTGCGCGCGCGCTAAAACGGCCTAATTTGCGGCGCGACGCTAGTTTAGCGCGGCTGTTGGAGATGCTCTTAGCCTGCTTGAACGTGCATGGCGCCCCGGGTTGGTCCTGTCATGCCATTGACCATGGCGCCTTGACCTGGGGTGTCATGCGCAGATCTAAACTTATGGTGTTTTTGATCAGGGCGTCATGCTGTCAAGCATAAAACTTCAGATCAGGGTCTAGAGGTCATGCAAAAAGATTATTTTGTGAAATAATTTGCAATCAGGTTAATTTTTTGTTAAACTTTGCAAAAAGTGACTGCCTTATGTTTTTCATCGCAGGATTCAGCCGCCGAGGAGCACGTCCGCTAGGTGTGTAGTATGCGCACCGACCGACAAGACGGGTGAGTGACCGGACGCTGGTGGCGTAAATCTCTAGCTGGCAGCCCTGCAAGGGTGACGACCCCGGGATGCATACTCGACTACTCGTACACACACACTGGCCGAATAAGGACACGATTTTGTTCGCTCGATGGAACCCCAGGGGATCCTAAAAAAAAAAGAAACCCCAGGGCAACCCCACCGGCGAGAGCTATGTGTCCCCCATACGGTCGTACCGATCTCCATTAGGAATCGTCTACAAGTGGCCATCAGGCCGACCCAATACTGTAGCAGAGTATTACTTTTTTTTTTCTGCTTTTCCAATGTCTGTCGTGCGGTTTTTCACTGCTGATTTTTTCTGTCTTTTTTCTCTTTCTTTTTTCTTTGGTTTTCACTAATTTTCTTTGTGTTTTTTTACTTTTCTTTTTGTTTCAACATATATCTATTTTTGGTACACACTTTATATTTCTCATATACATCAGGAACATTTTGCATACATCTTTAACCATTTTTAAATACATGATTATTATTTTTTCGAATGTATGCTGTGATGCCTACTTTTTTCATACATGTTGTACATTTTTTTGTATATATCTAAAACTTTTTTTTACATAATTTAACATTTTTAAATTCATGATTAATGTTTTTTAACCAAATACTTTTGTTGAACAAACAAAATCGAGCTAGGACAGTCGGTGCCTGCCACTAGCTCTGGAATTGGGCCGCTGTCTTTTTATTTTTGGGCGTCCCATCTCATCGCATCCACAGCTTTGTCTTCGCGCAAAACCTTTGCTCTTTTGGGAGCGACCACCATTGTCTGGCCCGTCTTTATTCATCCATCCATGGAGATCCTTGCTCTCTTGCTGCTGACCGGGGAACCATTTGACTTACCCACCGAGAGATGACGATGATGGGTGCGCACAGAAGAGACCTTTAATGAATATATCAAGATTTTTTTGGGGGGTAGACCGGTCGGGTTGTGGAGCATATCATCGTCCTAATCATCATCATCTGCTGATCTTCCTCCTCTTTCTGCTGACCGGGGAGCTGTCGAATCCAGAGCTCGCGGGCGGCGGCGACGATGCCATGGTGATCGTCGTCGTGCTGGCGCCATCGCTTGTGCAGCTGAGGTAGCCGGCGTCCAGGTCCAGCACCCCGGTCGGGCTCCGGGGAGCAGACATGGCGGGGGAGTAGGCACTGCGCAGGCCTGCAGTTTTAGGTGGTGGCACGGTGGCGCCGGTGGCCTGGATCATCGCTTCATGGCAACTCAGCACCCGCTCCTGCAGAAAGCAACAAGCCATTAAGTCGCCATGTTACATTACAGAGTGTAAATGCAGCTCACGCGTTCCCTGCAGGGTGTCTGGAGAAGTACGCGCGGCTACAAGAACAGGGGCGACTGCACTGACTTTTTTTCTGTATGCCTAGCGTACTGCTGCAGGTCCAAAAGGCCAAGAACCACGCCGCGACGCAGTAAATGAGACGTGGTGCCCGGACAAAAAAAAGCGTTGCGTGTGCGTCTCACCTTATCTACGTGGGTGCAGCAAGCCGCCTTATGGGCGGCGTGTTCTTCCCCGGCCACGGCGGCGGCCACCGTCGCGGCGATCTCCGAGGGCCGGAACTCCAGGCAGCTCGTCCCTGCGATGCCACAGCGTGAGATTTTTCACACAAAAATGGTCGATGCATCTCTGACAGATCGATGGTTCTGCGAAAAAAGGTGCTGCGTGCGTGCGTGCGTGCGCACCTCTGGATATGCAGAGGATGAGCTCCGTGGCGTCCCGGACGGCCTGCCTCGACGGCGCATTGCCGCCGCACAGCTGGTGGAGGAAGTAGTCGAGGTAGGAGAAGGGGGTGACGGCCTGCATCCGCCATTTGAGCGTGCTCAGGACCAGCAGCTCCATCCTCTGGATCGTCTTCGCCTCGAACACGTACCGCGCGTCCCCGGCCACCTGCAGGTCGATGGACTGAGGCACGGAAGTTTCGTCCATCTTGGCAGCAAGAGACAGGCACGCCACCGATAGCAGCTGCGTCATCCAAGCCTTGCCCTCCTGTAAACACGAGCGAGGCTCACATGAATCAGCCGTGCAATGGCGTGGCGTGCATTAATGGCCGGACGGCCAGTTCTTGATAGGGTGGACGTATCTCCTTACCGGTATCTGGTAGAGCGAGAGGAAGCGGTCCATGTAGTTGAGGGCCAAGCAGGCTGTGATAGAGCCGAAGCCGTAGTACGTGTGAACCTGCGGGTACACCGATGGTTAACATCAAGCACTGGATCGACACGAACGGGAACGAATCAGAGGTAAGAGAGCGAGACAGGTCGCGTCGATTAAGGAAAGAGAGCGCACCTTCCATATCCAGTCGACGGCGTCCACCCGCACGCGGAGATCCACGCCCCCGGCGCGGAGCCTCTCCGCGTAGTCCTCCCTGGGCATGTGCTCCGCCTCCGTCGCCACCCAGCGGGCCACGCACTCCTCGGACGGCAGCGGGAACTCCACGGCCAGCTCGCCACCGCAGTACGGCGACGGGCTCGCCCTCGCTCCCGCTGCCGCCTCCTGCTCGTCGCCGAAGCCGAAGATGCTGCTGCTGTCCTCGGCGCAGAGCAGGATGGAGGCGGCCATCTCGTAGCTGGGAGCCATCGGTCTGCTGGCCGGCGCTTCCTTCCTGGTAAATGATAGTGCAACGATACACGGCCTGCTCCTCCTCCTCGACGGACCTCGTGCGGCTCGTGCTCCGCCTCTGGCCGGGAGCGGGTGAGGTGTGGAAGCGAAGGAGGGAGAGGAGGGGAGGGGCGGATGAGGGAGGGGGGGACGGGTCTTTTGTACGTAGCGGCGTGCGGACAAGGGAGGGGTGTTTTGGGCAGGAGGCAAAGACGGGCAACGGAAGCGGGAAGTGGGGGCGCTGACTCGGGCAGCCAAATTTTCCACGGCGCTTTCGCTCGTTGAACCCCTTTTCTTTCCGAGTTTACTTTGAGGCGCCGTAATGCTTTTCTGGCCCTTTTTTATGATTGTTTTCCTTTTTCGTGAGTGAATTCCTGCATTATTTCTTTCCTATTATTATTGTATATATTATAATTACATATACCGTTGCGGTCTGGCATGTACGCGTAAAAAGAGATGCTGTGTACAGCCGGCGTGAAATGAGATATGATGATTGCAGAAGATGATGACGGAAAGAAAAAGGAAAGAAACGGACACATGTGACGAGAGCGACAATGACACCTTGGCCTTATCGAGTTAAGCAAGGGGATGACAACTAACATATGATCATGATGGTTCTTCTGCGGAGGGGATTTTCAGCAAAATTTACAACTCTAAGATTACGTAATTCTATTAGTTTATTTTTGGACCTCAATACACGGAGAACATCAGATTTTTAGGGCTCCCGGCAGATGCCCTCAAAGCCCTCAGGTCATGATCGAATGGATGGCAATTTCTCCGTACAACATTGCGATTTTCCTGCCTTTTTTGTGCCAAATGGCAACTTTCGCCTCTGATCATAGCATTTCCTACAAAGTTGGCATGACAAACCTGGGTGTTCGCCAAATTACATTTTTCTCTTTCTGCAGAAATAACCTTACATTTATTGGCATGCAATATATCTTAACATAGTTACATTGATGTAACTCAGATAAGTTGCATATTCGTAAAAAAAAAAACTAGATAAGTTGCAACTATGAAAACTTCAAATATGCACCTATCAATGTTGTAGACGCGTGTACATGATTTTGGCCACATCTGGATCTTAATTTATATATGCGTTTCTCCGGCTTTCTCGTTCTAAAAGTGGGGCATTTTGCAAAGAACATAATAACTTGTTTACCATTAATCAGGTGAGCGATAAGCACGTCACCGATAGCAGTTGCGCCATCCCAGCCTTTATTCCATGCCAAGCTTTTTTTAGAGCTCGGCAAGGTCTATCTGCTATGATGTTAGTGAGTGTTCGCCCCTGAAAATACCTTTTCTCGATCCTGATGCTATTTTATGGTGTTAAAGAAATTTTTTCCTCGAGCACCAATGTTGACAATTTTCGTAATATAAATATTTTGGACCTTTCCAAAATATTTGAAAGTTTAAAAATATTTTGAATTCTGATCTCATTAAAATTAACCGAGTTTTAAAAAAAATGATCAAATTTAAATTTTATTTGAAATTAGTTTAAACATGGCCAGGAATTTCAACGTTCCAAAATTCTGGTTACTCCGTAAAATTACAAAAATTCAAAATGGTGTTAAAATCCGTCTAGAGTGATCAAGAGGTGGTTCTACCATAATTGACCATGGCCCTCTTCGGTATCCGCTTGGGCAGATCCAACGACCTCGAGGGTGATGGGGAACGTTGCAGAAAACAAAAATTTCCTACTCGTTTCGCCAAGATCCATCTAGGAGTTCATCTAGCAACGAGCCATCGGATGCATCTACATACCTTTGTAGATTGCGTGCGGAAGCGTTCAAAGAACGGTGATGATGTAGTCGAACACGACGTGATCCAAATCACCGATGACCAAGCGCCGAACGGACGTCACCTCCGCGTTCAACACACGTACGGGACGGGAGACGTCTCCTCCTTCTTGATCCAGCAAGAGGGAAGGAGAGGTTGATGAAGATCCAGCAGCACGACGGCATGGTGGTGGATGCAGGGCGTCACAGTAGCAGGGCTTCGCCTATACTACGAGAGAGAGACGTAACGGGGAGAGAGGGAGGCGCCAGGGGCTGGGGTATGAAGTCCCTCCTCTCCCCCACTATATATAGG